GGCACGAAGAAAGGAAAGGGCCCATTCTTCTCCGCTGGAACTGCTCCCGATACGAATTACTATCGAGTGATCGAAGCTCTGTGGAAGACTGCGAAGGAGAGCAACAGGCAGACTTTTTTGGATCGCGCTCAGCAGGAGTGGCACTTGCTGTATAAGAATGATGAGGCAGCAGTCAAAAGCTTGCTGTGGAGAAGTAATGCTGAGACTGACGATGGGAGAAAGCTTGCTGAGCCCTTCGTCAAGCCTGTGGATCCGTTTCGGGCACGGACTGGTCAAAATTCACCCGCAGCTGCGACATCGTCTGCACCAGGTCCTGTATCTGCTACCGCGTCGGAAAGCTCCAGTTCTAGGAAGTTGTTAGAGGTCTTCCAGATCGACCCGGATGATTTCCTGACCGAAGATGTGAAGGGCAAGACATCCGTCATGCAACTTTTCACGGAGGTGAGTGACTTGTGGCTGCAGTACCGCAACCAACACAATTGCTACAAGCGCATGGTGAGCAACAGGAAACGTAAGACTTCGAAGATATCCAGTGCAATAGCCAAAGTTGAGGAAGAATTGAAGGACATAGCGCATGTAGTTGTTGAAATAAGCAGCATCAAGGTGCCACAGTCAAGCTTGTTGACAACTGGCGGTGTGAAAAGTCTGGCCCAGAAGATGGAGAAGCTGACGACTTTAGCAAGCTTGCTGCCACGCCTCAAATCCAGTCTTGGTGCAGTGATTCCACGCTTACAAGTCCGGAATTCTCAAATGATGAACCGTGGAGTGCCGCGGCGCAGCACTGATTTCGTCTTTCTTTGTGAGAACTCTCCAGCTTTGACCTGGGACACTGCTCGTGCGGCTCTCAAGTCTGCAGCAGAGGATAACACCTTTGTAGAAGAGCCACTGTCGGCAGAGCAGTTGCTGGCATGTGCGTCTGCTTTGGAAGCAAGTAATGCTGCACCGCTCGAGTGTCTTCAGTTTGCTATCCATGCCCTCCAGCCTGCTGATTCAGCAGATGATGATAGTGAAGTGGAGTGTTCCATAGATAATCCTGATGATGATGGTGATGCTGCTGCTGCTGCTGATACAACCAACAACGCCACCAACATGACTGAGTCAAAGCGGTTTACACAGCGGCTTCTTATTCAACTTGTGAGGTTCCTACCCGTTATTGCCGTCAGGCAGAAGTCAACATGTAGGACTGTCTTGGTTAACATGGCTGAGTTCTCCCTCCTGGCCAGTGGCGATACGTTTGCTGACATGCTCCTCCTGAGTGAAACACCACAAGAACCAGTAAATCAAGCTACCACTGATAATGTCCCAACTGAAATCTATCATCACCTACCTGGTCAGAAGCCCGGCCGCAAGGCGGTTGTCAGTCAGTTTCCGGAGATAGTGACTATTGTCACTGACTTCATTCAGAACCACGGTTTCTCTGCCCAGGCACGGAGAAGGTCCACAACTGGAAATTCCATGGGCGTCAGCTTGGCAGACATTCAAAAGCACGTGCTGCAGATGATCCCCTACATCAAGTCGATTTCGCGCAGTACTTTGCACCAGCTGATGGTAGCACCACGCCGAGGCACCATGAATGCAACTCGTTACACAGGTCTTGTGCAGAGTAGAGTTCCAGGAAAAGACAACAGCCTCCGAAAAGAAAATATGGATGCTCACTTTGCATTTGCGCAGGTGAAGTACGTGAAAGAATTCTGCCAACATTTTGAAGCAGAATGTGTCCAGCTGTCTTGTGATGATATGAACAAAGTGAACGTGGGTGTCCTTGCAGTGTCCCGATATCATCAGCTCAACCATTTCTTTCCAGTCGATGATAAGCCGCAGTACTCTGATCACGACTTCCCCTACAAAAATTCTAAAATCATCCCGTCCGGATACATGATCCTAGAACACAAGCCATCTGCCGCTCCTCATGCCAGCCGAGTTCGGTCTCGCAGCTTGACCCGAAACGAACCGCGCAACACGACTCCCAAACGATCAGCAAGCTGGAGCCCAGCATCTTCTTCTGCAGCTTCCAGTCGATTCAAGGTTGATAAGCTCGGTCGCCTCCACCATGTCTCACCTCAAACGGGCCCTGTGCATGTTTTCAACCGGGCAACTAAATTTCACTCGGCAACCAGTAGCGCCCATGCATCTGACCTGACAACTTTGTTCCGTGAGGTACCGTTGCTGCAGAGGAAAGTGGTTTCCCTTCTCGTCGATGGTGGTCCTGATTTTAGCCCCAAGCATTTGGTGAACCTCCTAGCTTTCGGCCAACTGTGGAAAGATCAGAATTTGGATGCTCTGATCATCTCCTGTCATGCCCCTGGCCACTCCGCCTACAATAACATTGAACATGCTTGGGCTCCGCTTTCCCGTTCGTTGGCTGGCGTTACCCTCCCGAACAGATTAGATGGCGAGGAACCACCACATCTTCAGAAGCTCTCTAAAGAGGAACTGTGCCGAAAAGAATCAGTTGTTTTCGATCAAGCTATTGACATTCTGGGTGGATACTGGTCGAAGCTGAAATTTGATAGTCATGATGTAATCCCCAGGAAGGTTCAATGCATTGACTCGAGCTGCAAGTACAGTGATCATGATGTACTTGCAGACTTTGTGAAGTCGTCTCGGCGGGCCATTGAGCAGAGCGAAGACATGCAGGAGATCCGGTCCCTCCTTGCATTCCTCTGCAAGCATGTGTCTCGATCACACTACCAGATGACATTCCTGAAGTGTGAGAGCGAGGAATGCGCACACTGCTTAGCCCATCCAGTTGTTGCTTCTGACTCTGTAAAATTTCTCCGTTCCGCTGGTGGACACCTCTTCACCCCTCTTCCTTGTGAGACCGCTGACGGCCTTCATTTCAAGTCGTTCCTGGAATGCTGCACTCACCTAGCTTTGGGAAAGCCTCTTCTTCCTTTGGACGATGGTCTTCCATCTGGTGGGACAACACGCTGCGAATATGGATGCCGTTACGTTTACACATCGGTTCGCGATGGCGATCGCCATGTCTGTCTCGTACACCCTGATCGCTGGAGACAGCATCGTAGCAAAAAGCAGGTGACGTCAACTGCTGCGACTTCATCAGCAGACACACCAACACCAGCCAGTGATGAGCCTGCACCAAAGCGCACCTGCCATAGATGCACGTTTGCCGACTGTGGGCTATCATTCAGCTCAGGTTACCAGTTGCAGAAGCACAAGAAAGCTGCTGGGCACCACCTCAAGCGTGGCCGACCATCCAGCAACTGAGTGGACCTTCTTGGGCACGGGGTCGTCCCATCAAGATATGAGTCAGGATGTACTATTTCGTTTTCCATTGCTACTACTTTGAAGTATAGTCTCGTTGAATGCAAACAGTACACCGCATTACCATACTAGTGGCGTGAAGGAAGACATTCATGTATCATATTCATATCTCTCTATCATCCCAAGAATTATGCGTGGCTTGTAAATGACTTGGTTGAGTACAGGTGCAACCATACATCACCGCAGGACTGTATGTGTGTGTGTGTGTGGGGGGGGGTATGTCTTGTGGGACTGTACGTACACATATGCTTGACTGTCATCAGTACAGATTGCATTGAAAAGTATGTGTTTAAATGCAGTCAATATTTTTTTCGTTCTGAGGGGGAGGGGGGGGAGGGTTTGGGTCTAAACTAAAATAATTCGTTTCGTGAAAAAAGTTCGATATTCACGGACGGCCCCTTAAGTCGTACATTTTGCCTATATTTGACTATTGCGATATAGCTTGGTGCGGGTTGTCTCAGACTTTACTCCACAGACTGGAGGTACATCAACGCTTGCTTCTGAAAATTCTGTTTCGAAAAGACCAAACATTTGCCTCCCTTTGTCTTTATAAACTTGCTTCCACGCACCCTCTTCTTGCCCGACATCAGCAGCATCTTTGTATCCTTGTGCAAAAAATCTTCCTAGCCCAAGTCCCGAAACATATTGCCAAGTACAACTGGTTTGTTACCACTAGACCAACACGCAATGCCTTATCACTGCCCCGAGCTAGTTCCTCTCTGTTTTGAAATCCCCTTTCTTCTCAGCATACTCCCTTTGGTCTAACCTGCCTACTAGCATTAAGACATGCCAGGATATCAGGAAATTCACAGTCCAGCTTTCCACACTGTCTCATCCGAAGTGATCCCATGTATTATTAATGTGCCTCCCTTTCTTTTTCTCTCCCTATCTCCCTTCCCTCTCTGACAGCATCTTTCTTTTTTTCCCTTTTTAGCTTGCCGTGGTTGGCTATCACCTGACCTCTCATGTTTATTGGCAGTCTTCGGACGGGCCAGGAGATGTTGAATAAATAAATAAATAAAGCCACTCTATAACCATGACAACAGATGTGAAGCCACTCTATAACCATGACAACAGATGTGAAGCCACTCTATAACCATGACAACAGATGTGAAGCCACTCTATAACCAAGGCAACAGATGTGAAGCCACTCTATAACCATGGCAACAGATGTGAAGCCACTCTACAAACATGGCGCGGACGCTGGAACCATTCCACTGCCACGCACTCAATCACCATGGCTCGGTGACTCATGCTTGTACTGTGTGAATCATCCAATCTCATCTTGGCCCAGGACGACTAGCTGCAGAGTCATGTGCGTAGCACCGCCGTTGGAGGTGGTCCGGTTGGAGGGGGTGTGGGGGTGTCCCCCGGGAAAAAATTGAAATTACGGTGCAAAATTCTGCATTCTGGGCACTTCTGGGCGAAAAGTGTTCCTGCCAAAGCCGGATCGGCTACTACGCCCCTGGGAGTGACCAGATAACGACTAGCTGCAGAGTGGCCAGAAAAGATCGAGATTGGCACGTGACTTGAAATGCTTGAAACCATAACTATACAATACAGCCACCCCTCCCCCCCCCCCCCCCCCCTCCCCCCGGCACATGCACAGATGAAAATGACCATGCAGTCCATTTCAATTTGCAGTCCCTCTGTGCATAGACATGCGTGATGCCAGTGAGTGCCCGGATAACGGAGGTTTGAGTTCGTCCACTTACTTGATGATTTCCTCCACTTTTACAGCAAGCGCTTCGCCACCGGCATCCTTGATCAGATTACGAAAGTCCTGACATGTTGGTTGATAATCGCCAGCTATCAGGTAGAAGATAACGCCGGGTATGTTAGTGACGTCTGCGTCTCCTTTCGCATGAACTTTAATGAAGCGCTGTACGACAATCTCATAGGTATCGACATACTGTTTCTCGCGTTTTTTCACACACATCTTTGCCAGTTTACCTGCACAGCAAAACAAAAATGATGAGAGAGAGAGAGAGAGAGAGAGAGAGAGAGAGAGAGAGAGAGAGAGAGCGGGAGAGAGAGCGAGAGAGAGAGAGAGAGAGAGAGAGAGAGAGAGAGAGAGATCTCCTAGTCCGTTTCAAAAAGATTAGCAATCAGGTTTTGGTCTTAAAAAGTATGAAGATAAGGGAAATTTGGACAACAAAGTACATAGAATGGCTTGTAAGGGTACGGCAAATTGTTCTGTGAAAGTTTCAGAACAATTGGACCAGCCGTTTTATAAGGATTTAGAATTTCGCCCAGGTTTCCGGCCTTTTCCCATGGTTTACAATTTGCCCCGGAAGCCAGATCGATTTTTTATCAAAACCCACGATTTATCCTTTCCTTTTTGGCCTTTTGGTTATGAATGCTGTCTGCTGACCATGAAGTTGTGAGTTCAAATCCCAAATTATCTTCAAGCCAAACTTTTTTTCATTGCTTTGGTGATTACTCTGGAAGATCCACAAAAAGTACAAGACAAAGAAGGTGGTTGCGCCAAACGACTTGTTGTTGGAGCTCGCGTTTCCTGCCGAACTTACAGACACTTGACTGGTTCAGGCCATGTGAACACACCCACAACACTGAAACGGTGTGAGTGAACACGGAAGTCATTGCGCTGTAGCTATACGTGTTGTTGCATACAACGGCACATCGATCGATCGATTTTTTTGAGAATTATTTTAGTATTTCAAGATCAAAATTTTGAAGGACGTTTCACGCAGCTTCATTATACTTGAATCGTTTGCAGGCAAACTGCCTACACTAAAGAGAGCACTGCATTTCACACAAATCCATTAGAGGTATCGTTTCAACATTTCGGTCTTCATGACCATCATCAGGAATGAAGTGGACATGGAAAAAAACAGCAGTATAAAAGAAGGAAGCAAAGCGCGGTACCTAGTGACAGCGCGCGTAGAGAAGTGCAAAGCACGTCGTGGCGGGTGCATTGCTACATATACATGACAACACAAGCACAAACGGCGAGGAAAGTAGATACTGCGCTACAGCAGTGATACAAGCACAGTTCCAGTCTCACATCTCCAGTGAGGTGTGTAGAGCCCCGCGCCACTCGCAGTAAATAACAGCTGTATTCAATGCCTGCAGAACGCCCAGGTCAGTACCACAACATCCCATGCATGATGCTGAAGGTAGCTGAGTAAGAAAGATGATTGCAGACCATGGTAGAATGTGGAAGAGCATACTCCATAAAAAGTGGTAGCCAAGGTACGTGAAGGCATGCATTGCCCACACACACATGTGCCGAGTGTATCACCCAGAACGCATGCTAGAACTAGTAGAAGCCAATATGGCCGCACAGGTGGTGTTATAGCAGGTCCCAGCCACTGTTGTTGTTGATTCCCGGGGACCGCTCCCTGATGTTGATGGCCTCTCGGATCCACCTCCTGGGGCGGTCACGCTCAGAACCACTGAGAACCCGGATACCCGAGAAGGCCGTTGCTCCCTATGGCAATGGTTCAGATGCATGCTTGGCTGCAAAATGCTCACCCAGCGCGGTGCCGCTCACTGTG